TCCTTAAGAGATTCTTTGGGTTCGAGAGAATACCAAAATAACACATCCTTAGTGTTCGAGAGAAACTAGGGAGGAACTACATAAACAAGAGCTTCTTGGTAGTAACTAGGCCTAATCCACCTTAGAGATAAGTCTAGGATTTCATTAGACTAATAAGAGTTGTGCATGAACGATAGGTTAGATGTCAATGCTGCTGCAAAAAGGTATTGCCGAGACATATCCTGCTATCTGGACCAATAGGATCACTGCAGGGGTTTATTCCAATCGGTTTTGCCAGGGCATCTTTAATTTGTCAAGTCTCTTACTAGAGATAGCATAGGGCACCTTAGTATACTCTGTCGAGCAGAAGAGGCATAGAGATAAGATCATTCCAAGAAGTAAACTTAGGTTTTCCAGAGTGACTCCTACCACTCATTCCCAAAGTAGCTTGTCGTGTGAGAAAGACAAAGTCCTATTAATCAAATCGTATATTTATATTTTATTTTGCTTTAACATTTCCATCCACTTTGCCACGACATATCCATTTGCTACCATACCACCATTCCATTTCCATAACATCCATCTCATTTTGCCACAACATTATCATTTGTACATACCATCACTAACTTTACTTAAGTGACAAAGTAAAGCGCTTTGGTAGAACTTATTCGACTTCCTCCAATCCCTGTGGAGACGATACTCACTTATCACTATATTACTTGTTCGATTGTGTATACTTGCACACATATCCGCACTCATTTTATAGTACTCACAAGAGCAGACACAAAGGTAAGTTTTATGATTAGTTGATTATTTGTTGATTTTAAGAGTGAGTTTTGATCCTTAGGTGATACTTAAGCTTAAGGAAAGCTTAAGTTGTCTTATAATCAAAAGATGAATAAGTTATGAGAGATTAAAGATAAGAAGTTTCTAAATGAATTTCTGAAAAAGAGTTGATAAAGGAATTTGGAGATGGAATTTGACTTGTTATCAACTTAATTAAGAGATATGCAGTGATAAACTTGGATTTAGAACATCTTGGAAAATTGGTGTGATTATTGAATTCTATATGGATAATAGGATTTTGAGATTCAAGATGTGATAAATGAGTATAAATTGGTTTAAGAATATATATGTGAGTTAGGAACATGAAAGGGGGAGGAAACATGAAGTGTTGAAGCTGAAAAGAGTGAATTTTCGTGCTTAAAATAAAATTTTTGGGCAAGGTGTATTGGTACACATTCAATATGTACCGATACACTCTTAAATGAAGAAAAATCGAATTCAATAAGTGTATCGATACACAGGAAGTGTATCAATGCACCCCTTAAAATGAAAACATCGAATGTAATTTATGTACCGATACATATGTAGTGTACCGGTACATCAGTTAAGGAATGTATCGATACACTAGAGTGTACCGGTACATACGTTAAACAAGAAATGAAAGTATCATTTCCTTTAGTTTAAGAAAAGTAAGATTATAATATATCAGTGAGAATATTGATATGGATCTATGCATTATAGATATAAAATGTAATCATGTTCCGGAACCATCGAAGAATTAGAATCGATCAAAGTAATTAAGGCTAAGGTGAGTGCAATTTAATTTGTATTTATGTTATTGATCAAACATTGGCTTGCGATGAGCTAGTGATGGAGTTACTATGGTAAAAAGTAACTTCTAAAATGTTATGTGATTCTTATGTGTGCATGAATACATAGAAATTGGTATATGTTATTATATGTGACATGATTTACATGCTTACATGAATATGCAATATGTGATATATGTTATATGATATGAGATAGATAGTTACACATACATGTGATATGTGACAGAAGAGAAGAAATATGTGATCATAAGAGCAATGATATGAATCATAATGATAGTGCCCATGTTCTGTGATATGAGAGCTAGGGGTATAGTTGGCATGCCAAGAGTCGATGGTTACCTATGTTCTTCGAGACATATGGACTGATTATCTAGGTTATTTGGAACCTATTGACTGGTCATTCAGAACATTTATACGAGCTATGGTGACAACATAATTGTGCACAACCTCAATGAACTCACATACCTTAAGTTCTCAATAATGTACATAGGCAATTCGAAGATAAATTGAAGTGAAAATGGCATAAGAAGATATGTTTTATATGTGCATAACATGATCATATATAATATAGTGTAATAGATACATGCAAGTTGAACTGTTATGATCAAATGGTAAGAATTCATGTTTCATGAATTCATTATTATTATATGTTATCAAGTTATTATTCTTTACACTAGAGTACACGTTACATGATTGAATTAATAGATTGTATGTTTGTATTTATAAGAAATGCATCATATTATGTCTTTTTTATGCCTCACTAAGTCTATGACTTAGCGTGTAAGTGATTTACACGTAGGTACTGAGAAACAAGAGGATCAAAGCTAAGTTCAAAGGAACAACACATCTCCGCTCAAAGATCAAATCAGAAGTAAATTACACAGTATGTCTTGTTTATGTGATAAATAGGTTGGAATGTAAATAAAGTCGTTAAATTAAGTATGTATGCTCTGATCGAGTTTTATAATGTTTTAAACGTATTTATGTAAATGGTAACTTTATAGTGATGAAAGGTTAAATTTTTATGAGTTTTATATATGTTAGATTGAAATTATTGTAGCAGTGCATCGATACACATTTTAAATTCGATGTTTTTGTGCATCGGTACACTGTTCACGGTACTGTAGCAATGCATCGGTACACTGTTCATGGTACTGTTCACTGTACTATTTACACAATATCGATACTATTCATACAGTACAATACTATTCATAAAAAACATTATTTGCCTTAAATTTGTTAGAACGAAACATAATTTAATAGTAATTATCGTATTTTCTTAATATAAGTCCAAGTGTTCTATTATTTAGTAAGAATATTGTTTTAAGAAGTCAATGTGACATCTTAGACTCGTATCCGGGTCAGGTATGGGTTGGGGGTGTTATAGTTATAGTCGAGACATCTAAAATGATAACGTTAGACACCTGGATTGATAAAAAAAATTAGACATCACTTTAAGAAAAACGGTATAGTTTGAACACTAATTTTTATATTAAGCCATAATAAAGCTTAATATTATAGCAACAATACAAGTTCAATTGTCATAACCCATCCAGTGACATCAATGGTAAAATAAAATATTATTTTTCATAGAGATTTTAAGTTTGAATAGATGCGTAACAATAATAAAAAAATCTAGAGTAAACTATTCAGATAATAAATTATTATTATTAGTATAAAAAGGCTCAATTTTCATATATGAATTATTATTCAATATATTAGTAGTGATTTTTTTAATTTCTCAAATAATATTTAAAAATCTCTTATACCAGTTTCCACGTAACAACAATAAATAATATTATTCATATTTCTCTCTCTCCACACAAATAGCGTTATTTGAAATGGAGTTATAAAAAAAACTGCTTTTAAGAACTAAAAATATGATGAAAATATATCAAAATGTTGTTTCTTTTAAAATAAAGGAGAAATATGGGAGAGAAAATAGAGATAGATGTATCTATATTTTTTTTTATTTTGATGAGTACATGAACTCCATATGTATAGGGGGTGAGAAATACTCTCTAATAATTATAATACATGTGAAGAGTCAAGTCATTTGACATTTCATCTTCTAAATATTTTCTTTAAATTAGATACAGAAATGGACCTAAAGCATAAATTTTAGGGAAAATTAAACTTTAGTACCTCGATTATTATTTTTATTCCGTTTTGATCATCTAATTATTTTTTTTCAAAATCATATATAATGTTACGTTTTAGTTTCATTTTGGTCACACACCATTAAAAAATTAACAGAACTGTTGACGTGATATTTTTTTTAAATTTTTTTCATGATAATGTGGTATTACCTCATGGTGACACATCAATATCGTCGTTAATTTTATGATGGCAGGATACCAAAATAAAATCAAAACGTAATATTATGTATAATTTTAAAACATAGTTAAGTGACCAAAACAAAACAAAACAAAAGTGATAGTTAGAATACTAAACGTATAGTTTACCCTAAATTCTAATATCTCTTAATTTATCTTTATTTGACAAAAATTTTAAAATATTTGAATTCACTTACAATTTAAATCTATATCAAAAAATTTTAATATGGTTTTTTATTTTTAAAATTTTAATTAAAGAGATGTAATGGAGTTTTTAACTATATCATTAACTTATTAAATAATTATTATTTACATAAGTTCATATAAAACATAAAAAATAAATTCAAGAGGGATTTCCTTTTTTTTTTTACCCTCAGGAGACAAATGAAAAAAAAAGAAAAAGCAAAGCGACCGAACCTGGAAAATATAAGACAAATATGATGTTTAAATGACTAAATGCCCAGTCAGGGACGTCACCATTATTCTCGTATAAGTTTAATTTTTTTTTAAAGATATACATGTATATATTAATAATAATTTTTTTATATAAAATATATATAAATAAAATTTTAAGATAAATATAATTAATAAAATAAACAATTAACATAAAAAAAAATTTTTTAGATTTGGCATGTACCTACATGAAATAAACGTATGCTCACCATTGTTGCCATCATCTATGGAATGTAAATATCAGTTTTACTTCTTGTCCGAAACAAAGAAAAAAAAAACTGTTACGTGATTTTGATTAAATAGTATATTATTTTTTATTAAGATTTTAAGTTGGAATAGTTATATTTATAGGTATACGCTCACACATTATGAATGAGAAATCATTTCAAACTCAAAAGAAAACAAACTATTTTTTCTGTAAATTTATTATGAGATAAAAGAAACAAAGAAAGAAAAAGAGAGATGAAAGTGAGACAAAGTTAAAAACCATTGCCGCCCATCGTTCTTTTCCCTTTTGTTTCATAAAATCATAAGCTATTTACTTTGCTTTCTCTCTCTATATTGTGTTATTTATTTATATATTGAACTCTTCATCTTGATTTTCTCTCACCGACCACTTTCTGTTTCCATTCCGCCTAGTCTCGGAAGAGAGAAACAAAAGACTAACAAAAAACTTATTCTTTTGTATCCTTTACCTCTTGTTTCTCATAAGTTTTCTGGGTATTTCCTTTGGGTTTGTTTTGTGTTTCTGTTGCAAGAAAAAGAAGAAGAGAGGCAGTGAGTAGCTGTAGTTTAACTGGAGTTTAAGCTTGGGTTTTTAATTTTCTCAAGTGGACTGAAGTCGTTTATTGTGGTTCAAGGAAATGAGTTTTGGATCGTGAAGTCACCAAGTTTACACCTTTTTCTTCTTCTTCTGAAAATGGGTTCAGCGTTAAAGCAAACATTGAAGAATCTTTGTTGTAGTAATGGGTGGTCTTATGGTGTTTTTTGGCGCTTTGATCACAGAAATTCCATGTAAAGTTTCCTGTTTCTTTTGTTTGTTTGCTTGTTTTTGTAATATTTGCTTCATCTTTGTTTTGTTTCCTGTGTCGTTTGCTTGCTTCTTCCAATTTTTTTTAGTGGCTTTTAGTTTGTTTCAAGATCTGCTTTCTTTGCTATAATCTCTACTGCTACTACTACAACCAACTTTTTCTTAGTTGCAGATTCTTTAACTTTCTTTTGTTTCAGCATGTTTTAGTTAAAGTCTGCATGCATGTTTCAATTCAGAAAACAAGTTTTCTTTGCTTATAGAAATGGTGATCTTCCACCCTTCTCTAATTATAGATTTTCAATCTTGGAATTTTAACAGGTTGTTAACAATGGAAGATGCCTACTATGAACAGAAAATTGGTCCATTAATTGACAACATGCATCTAAAATTCCACATCCTTGGTGAAGGGTAATCATCTTCCCCAGAATTTGTGTTTTCCTATTAACTCAAGATCTCTAATAGGGCCAACCTTTTTGTTTTCTCTACTTCAGAATAATTGGCCAAGCTGCTTTCACTGGAAAACATCAATGGATTTTCTCAGACCAATTTTCATCTGGTAATGAAAATATATTCCAGGATGAATCTGAGTTACAAGACCAATTTTCATCTGGGATCAAGGTACCTCTCAATTTACCCTATTTATCTTAGAATCTTTGTGTATAACCTGTATTTATTTACAATCAAACATGATCTGCAGACAATTGCAGTAGTTTCTGTAGGAAGATGGGGAGTGGTTCAGTTTGGATCCCCAAAGAAGGTTAGTACATATAAAAATGGTTGATATTTAATTTCTTCTTATGAGAACCATACTTGATAAATTAATGTGTAAGTGGAGTTGCTGAAGAATGCTAGTTGTTCTTTTGCTGTTCTTGCAGATTTTTGAGAGGTTGGAATTTTTGACTGAAACGGAGAAGTTGTTTCATGACATGACAAGTTGTCATTGGCGTATGCCTTTCGAAATCGAAACTTGTAATCCTGATGGATTGTTTGCTTCCCTCACATCTGGTGGAAGATTTTGCAATGAGAATGTGACAACTGAACAAGGCGGGGCCTGCTCTAGAGAGCCAACGGGATGGTCACGTTCCTTCCAAAATCTCACTGAATCCTTCCGCTTTGTGCATGGGGTTCAAAACAAGAATATGAACTTTGATAAGAATTCTCGTATTAACTGCCTGGCTGCTAATACCCCTTGCGCTAGTCCTTGGGACAGGGAGGATTCAATTTTGACATTAAATGAGACGTCATATCCGACTGAAAGGGGTGTGTGGGATCCTTCAATTGCACTTCCTAAAATGGGTAATGGTCTTGAACTTGGTGGAAATACAGAACAAAATTTACAGGGTGGTTCCGCATTTACATCATTTTATAGCACAGGAGAATTGGTTGATGCAGATTCGCATAATCTAGATAAATTCGGCGAAACAGAACAGAAACAGCATTCTTTTGACACCAACACTGGACTTCTGGATAGTGTAATTAGCCTACAGAGAAGAACAGAGGATTTTAACCTAGCTGACTTTACAACAGATCTCTCCAGCTCCTTTACAATGGACGATCTCTTTCAGTGGTTTTCTCCTTCACCCCAGCAACACATTCAGGAAGCAGGAGCTACAATGAGTGATCCTTCATGTTCTGTAGGGGTTATCTCTATGCCATCCATTCAGATAGGAGGTGATGCAATTATCGACAATCCAGTCAGACAAGCAGCTAATTCATCGCAAAGCTCCGTCATCGATGCATTCATATCTAATATAGAGAAATCTTCAACTGTTCATGGTAATGGAAAAGATCTGTTTAGTGATATTGGAATGGATTTCAAATTTCGAAAAGCGGGGGAGTCCTCAGAAGATGTCATTATGCCTTTATTGCATGGTGATAACTCGGCTTTTACTTCTGGAATTTCATCATTGACATCAGAATTGGATGTTCATTCCATGACTGGCAAGAGAAAAGGATTATTCTCTGAACTTGGGCTTGAAGAGCTTCTAGGTTGTGTTAGTAATTCTTCTTATGTTACCAAATCTAGTGTTGAGGATCAATTTTCCACTATTAAAAGAAGGAAAACCGGAAGTTCTTCGTCTAATTTTCATCAAGGTCAGCTTGAAGGCCTTACTTGCTCAGGTGGGAGCATGAATCTGGTGCAGCATTCACATACCTGGGACAATAGTAATAATACTATTTTCAAAAAAGAAGTTCACCTAAAATCACAAGTAGGTCTATGGATTGATGATAGCTATAGTGTAAATGCTGTTGCTGCAACTTCAAAGAAGCCCACCAGGAAAAGAGCTAAACCTGGTGAAAGTACTCGACCGAGGCCCAAAGACCGTCAGCTGATCCAAGATCGTATCAAAGAGCTCAGAGGGATTATCCCTCATAGTGGAAAGGTACTAATGATGAGTCTTTACTGGTAAAAATTAGGCTTTCTGTTATCTGGAGAATTCTGTAAGGCACATATATTTTGTTTACTTTACAAGATCGATATTGTTGTTCTATTTGTAAGCATTATCGTCTAAAGTAATTTCTCGTTACAATGAAGCATCTACTTCATTGAAAAACTGGCTTACATTATTTTCATGATGCAGCAGTTGGCTTACACTATTTTCATAATGCAGCAGTTGAGCATTGATCATTTATTGGAGAGGACCATCAAATACCTGCTTTTCTTGCAAGGCGTGACAAAATACGCAGACAGGATTAAACAAGCTGATGAACCAAAGGTAACAATTTTTTGTTCATTCCAATGAAATATGATACTGAAGAAGCTCAGGGTTTGGTCATTGCAATTCACATTAAATGCATTAACAATTTGCTTGAACTTCAGCTTATTGGCCAGAAGAATGGAAAGCTTCAAAAACACAATACAATGAATGGTGATGCTACATGGGCATTTGAAGTTGGGGCTCAGAGTATCCCTATTGTAGTCAAAAACCTAAATCCACCTGGCCAAATTCTTATAGAGGTATGAAAAGGCACATAGTCTTCTCAAGGTGGTTAATTGAATGATGCTGATGCTTTTGTTGAGCCTTTTATCCTTTCTTCGATACAGATGCTCTGTGAAGATCAAGGATTCTTACTTGAGATAGCTGAAGTCATCAGGGGCTTTCCATTGAATATCTTGAAGGGAGTAATGGAGCTCCAAGAAGATAAGATATGGGCACGATTCATTGTTGAGGTAAAATGCCAGAGTTAAGACTTGAAAGCAATGTACTGAGACAACTAAAATATGAGTTCAAGGAACTGATCCTAAATTGAATATGACAGGCGGACAAGCATGTCGAAAGGCAAGGTATAATTTGGTCTCTTCTCCCGCTTCTGCAGAAAAAGGAGAGCAGTGGGATTGATTCTTCTGCAACTCAGCCATGTGGCGACATGGATGGTGGAGTTTCCCTATTAAACAGTTACCAGCAACCTTTCCTGCTGCCTACTGTAAGCCTTGCTGAGACACTTCAATAATTTGATACCTTGAGCATTCACATCTGAAGGACCTGCTGCAATTGGTGTTGTGGAAATGAAGAGCCGAAACTGAAGATAGAGGATGTTTCTCATTCCAGTTTCCACTGTCTTAGACACAGAAGTACAAGATTGATAGGCTAGGAAATACAATCTCAAAGGAGTGGCAAGTGATTTGTTTGCTGCCTTATACAGTTTCGGAAAAGAGACGTGAAACTCCGGCGGTACAAGGAACCAAAACCTGATAGAAACTGGTCTCATAATAGCCGATTTGGTCTGCATGTGTGGCCGGTAACTGATGAACATTAAACTGTATTTCTTAGTTTTTCAATTTTTGCATGCCTGCTCCAGCAATAAATTTGTTTATAACCCAAAGCAGACGATATAGTTGTAGGCTAACAGTTAATTGTTTCTTCTTCATCCGTTTGTTTTTTGATTAGCACAATAGTCAATAGAATCAGCTTGCTTAAATGTTGCATCTCCCAGGCAGTTCTGTTAGACCACTGAAATATATACTCCTTTTTGGTAAAAACAAGCCTTAATAAAAGAATAAGGCTCTCTTATACTATTGAGTTCGTTTAATGAGTTCTGTATTTTGCCACTGGAACATCAATGGAAAATAACACACGCTTTTACCAATTGATAATGAACTCATACATATCCTGTAGACGTAGTTGCTTGAACATAGAACATTTATGAAAAATAATATTCTTTTATCACTGAGATCACTTAATGAATTTTGTATTTCAATTTTGTATTTCAATTATTAAATCTTCCATTAGGTCGCAACTTCCAATTATCATGAAAAGAAAAAACAAATTATACGGTGACATATTGAGCAAAAGTTGTGATAGCTGAATTAGCCTTTCAAATCAGTGAATGGTAACTTTGTAAAGATCCCAACAATCAGGAGATAAGTGCTGTGTCCATTCAAGTGAAATCAGCAAATAAACACAACCAAAGCCTTTTGTTTTAAAATCATAGTGCCTCCACTTTGTTTAAACATGGGGAACCTTGATGTCCTATTCATGACCTAATTTGCCTTGAGGATGTGATAATTTATACGTGGGATCTACTTTAAGAATATGTTGTCCTGATACTCATTAAAAAAGGGTATTAATTAAAATACACATATTCATGTTGGCCTCTCCACTATAGTTGAAGTTTGCTGCAGTCAAGGTTTTGTAGCAGTTGCAAATTGCAATGCACAACAAAGAATACTAGCACAAAGCTAACTGATTCATTGAGGATGACTACGGGTGTTAGTAGCGGATTTAGAAATTAAAAAAATGAGATTCAAAATTTTAATGTTCCTTTTCTTTAATAAAATTATATGCGAATTTCTTTTTTTTTTCTCCTCTTAACATATTAAACAAAATTTAATAGTTTATCTAAAATAGTGAGTATGCACTTGATCCATAAGGGTGCGTTTGGTTCACGGAATGTAAGATTACCAGTGGGAATAAAAGATTACTAGAGAATAGGATTACTGGGAATGTTGTATTTTGTGTTTGGTTGGTTTAGCAGTAATGTAAGATTATCGTGTTTGGTTAAAGGAATAAAAGATTATTTGAATGTATATTTGATCAAATTGTCCTTATTATATATTTGTATAATATTACAAATTGTAAAATATTTATATATTTTCTTTAAAAAATTAAATTCATAATATTTATATAATTTTTTTTTACAAAATTAAAAATATATAAAAGGTTTAATGAAAGGGTAAATTTTTTTTAACCCCTGAACTTCATATAAAATTTTAATTATAGACTTTTTTTTTGTAAATCTAAAATAATTTAAGGATAAATTTGTAATTTAACCTTCGTAGAATTTTTATTATTCAATGACAGAAGAAGTATATTTTTGAAAGAAAAAAAATAAAAATTTAAGGGTATTTTAGTCCAAAACACCGGTAATGTTACAATACCTAAGGGAAGGGAGGTAATGACATTTCCGGTAATATACCCCAAAAAATCTACTATTGATAATAAAACATTATCGGTGTAAGCATCACCTGTTTGTGGGTTCTTTATTTGGGCTTGTAGTCTAGATATTTAATATTATTAGGCCCATTATTTTGGGCTGCTCCAACAAAAGTCCTCTCTTATGTTTTTTGAATTGTAATGATTATTAGATAACATCACATATACTCTGCAGATATAATTGTTCGAATTCGATTTTTTTAGAAAGAATAATATTTATTTTTACTATTGAGTTCACTCAATGATTTTCAAAGTCTTCCTTAAAGACGGAAGGATGAGGACTTTGCTCGACAATGCTATGAGAAGTTTTGTTCTTCCTTCTAAACGATTTTAACTATTTTATCACTTTTACTCGCTTTTATTACTTCGCCTTTATTATCGACTAGTAAACATTTTTTTCATCTAATTCATAAGAAGAAATAAGTTCATCATTTGAACCTTATTTTACCTATTTCACGTCTGATATACTACACTTATTAGAGATTATAACTTTTGATTTTAGACGTATAATTTTTTTTCATATGAATAATCCTTTTTAATAATCTTATGAACTAAAATTAATGTGTTAATTTACCGACCAATGATGAACAAACAACATCAAAATTTCATTCGACAAGTACACTTCTTAATATTTAGGGACATGTATGACTCGTCCAAGTTGACCTAGAACTGGTTAAAACTTTGTTTTAATACAATTGAATATAATAACCTAAATTTGACCTTAACTCATCATCGAGTTCACGAGTGTCAAATTTGATCACCGGCATGACCTTGAACTTTACAACTCTAAATATCACAACTTTCTTAAAATTTTAAACAATTTATACAAAACACATAAATACAAAACTAAAGTTCCTTTATTTTTGAAAAATCAAATACATAAATAAACATTACAATAAGACTTAAATAAAAATATTAATATCTATATGCCCATTTAAATAATCATTATTGTACTTTGATATTTTCACTGTGAATCCTCTAATGACATCATCATCCCATCATGATCCTTGAAATCTATAACCTATGAACGAAAATAATTCGAACGTTAAACTTATAAAATTCAATGGTACACATTTACTTTACTACATTTCATGAGTTTCATAAACATAAGTATGCAAGTCTGTTATGAACTTATACGCAGGCATTTACTCTTATAATCATTAATCTATCATCAGAGCTAACATTTTTACTCTGTCTAGAGTGTAACCTATTACTCCATGTATAGAGTGTAACCTATCTCAAGTCGTCATATTGTCTTATTCATTTTATCATGATCAACATTAGTATTCATCGATTCATTATGTAACATGTACTATAATTTACTCTATCTAGGGTATAATGATACCTATTCATTTTAGAGAACTCTATCATGATACTTTCGTAAACCAACTATACAACAATTGTCTTATCTGAATTATCATGCTTAATTCAATCAATAACATATGTGAATATATTATGCATGGAATCATAAAAAATATGTGCATGAATATCATGCATGGAGCGTCAATGTCATATGATCATCATGTCATGCTTTTAATCTATCATCAAGAATCATCATAAAAGATATTCAAAGTAAAATAAATAAGGGGTCTATATGTGGGTCAATATTAGCATAAATGTCATAAAACTCAACATCGATACAAAATCTGTTGTGAAAGGGTAGAAAAACTCATAGGTTCAAATACACTGTAATGCTAACTTAATGTCGAACGAAATAAATTCTGTAAGAGACGAACCCAAAGGTCCAAACTCAACATCAAACGAAATTCTCATGCAAGATTTACTGACACGAAGGTCCAAGATGCAGTTACTAACCATAAACATGCCATGCCATTATACCATATGACCTCTATCTATATTTCCATAAACATTTCATAAATATACACACTACATGATATACGCAGTGCTCTTATCTCACCATGATTGTTTAACCTACTAAATGACATGACTTATCTCAAGTCTCCTTGATAATAATATCATACAACATATAATATAATATGACATTCATTACTATATTATAGAGTTGCATGCTTGTAGTTGTGATGTACTGTAGCACAATTTTGTTTCTTTGGGAAATAAAATAAACAATTATTAAAAACAATTTTAGGATTAAAGAGGACTCCACTCAGAGTTTCACTAAGGAAGATAGTTGAGCACAGAGCGAAAATTAATATCTTGATGACCTAATTATTGGTCGGCTGACGTTTAGCTTTACAATTTAGGATTCATTCTGCCAGCAGCTTCACAGTTTAGCTTTGTTACAGTTTTCAAGTCGCATGTCTCGCACACGAAGACAAAAAATTTCGTTAATATTTAATTAAATAATTATTTTTTATTTTGATATTTAACGTTTTATTTTGGGTTAAAAAGACTTCTCCATAGACGAAAATTATTAATAAACAATCGATTAATATTCCAAAATATGAATTTTTTATCTTAAACTGAGACGTTAGAAGTCAAAATGCTCTAAAACAAAAAAATAAGGGTCAAAGTGAACTATATAGTCAAACGTTAGGGTGCGTTTGGTTCATGGAATGTAAGATTACCAGTGGGAATAAAAGATTACCAGGGAATAGGATTACTGGGAATGTTGTATTTTGTGTTTGGTTGGTTTAGCAGGAATGTAAGATTACCGTGTTTGGTTAAAGGAATAAAAGATTATTCGAATGTATATTTGACCAAATTGTCCTTATTATATATTTGTATAATATTACAAATTATAAAATATTTATATATTTTCTTTAAAAAATTAAATTCATAATATTTATATAATTTTTTTTACAAAATTAAAAATATAAAAAAGGTTTAATGAAAGGGTAAATTTTTTTTAATCCCTGAACTTCATATAAAATTTTAATTATAGAATTTTTTTTTGTAAATCTAAAATAATTTAAGGATAAATTTGTAATTTAACATTCGTAGAATTTTTATTATTCAATGATAGAAGAAGGATATTTTTGAAAAAAAAAATAAAAATTTAAGGACATTTTAGTCCAAAACGCCGGTAATGTTACAATACCTAAGGGAATGGAGGTAATGACATTCCCGGTAATATACCCCAAAAAATCTACTATTGGTAATAAAACATTATCTGGAATGAGATTCCCGGCCAACCAAACATGGGAATGTAGGATTCCCATCCCATGGGAATCTCACAATCCTTGAACCAAACACCCCCTTAGAGTTATAATATGATGTAAGTATAAGATAGTATTTGTTCAAAGAACACTCTCAACCATTTGACATTGAACACTAACACCCCTAATATTCTTACGTTTGAACTCAGGATCTCAAGAAATAATAATAATTCATTTATCACCAAATTCGTTTCATTCGTGCAAAATGACAAAAACAATAGATGTGTGTTTTTTTTAACATTATGTGTATGCTTCATTGACATTCATTTAATAACAAATATTATCCTCGCAGAAACGTTGCTTGGTGACGATTGCACTTCTGGTTATCAACTTATAAAAAGAAAAATAAACCCATAGTTAAAAAATTGAAAGAAAGGGGTCTCTTTGTCCACATCAAGACCTAATTACCTACCAAAAAAGTTAGAATATCGCCTCTAGAATCCCCCAACCAACTCATATTTCTCTTTATATAATCCACTAGTTACACTGATTTTGATAACCAAAGCCTCAGCCTCACATTCTTTGCTGTGTTGGCTCCATATAGTGAACAAATATAGCATTAGCACCGATAACTTTGTGTATGAAAATGGCTCATGGGACGGAAACACTCGAGGGGGTGGAATGGAGGATAAGGGTGGCCGATGGATCATCAGAGGCTTTGGTTCCAGATACGGGGCTTGCACGAAAAGCCTGGCTCGGACTAAAAGGCCTAATTCGGCGGTTGGCTTTGAAAGTGTGGATGTTTATGAAGAGAGCATGGGACGTTGGGGCTAATGATCCTAGAAAAGTAATCCATTGCATGAAGGTAGGACTGGCGCTCGCACTTGTATCTCTTTTCTACTTCATTAGGCCTTTGTATCATGGTGTTGGAGGCAATGCCATGTGGGCTCTTATGACAGTTGTGCTAGTATTTGAGACAACCGTTGGTAAGTACATATATGTATGTATGTATAAAAGTTCTTCAAAACTTTTGATTCCCTAAGATAGTAGTTATTTGAACCGAAAATCTCTACTTTACCTCATCACAGGAGCAACAGTATACAAATGTATCAACAGAGTTTTCGCAACCTTTCTAGCCGGATTTCTTGCAGTTGGGGTACACTGGCTTGCCAGTCGATCCGGCGAGACGCTTGAACCCTATGTTGTGGGAGCCTCAGTTTTCCTATTAGGTATGTTGATTCATTGATTGATATATAGTTGCTTACTTTTCCTTGTTCTTCATTTTTGACAATGCTAAACCTTGATTGGTGTTTCCCTTTTAATTCTTCTTCATTCAGCTTCGGCAGCAACTTTCTCTCGACTCATTCCGTCGGTGAAGTCCCTGTTTGATTATGGTGCCATGGTCTTCATCCTCACTTTCAGCTTCGTCGTAGTATCAGGCTACAGAGTGGATAAATTGTTTGAGTTTGCACATAATAGAATATCCACCATTATCATTGGAACTTCCTTGTGCATCATTGTAATCATGCTTGTCTGCCCCATTTGGTCCGGTCAAGAGCTCCATAGCCTGATTGTACGTAACATGGACAAACTCGCCGATTCCCTCGATGGTTAGTTTCTTCGATTTCATTAGTTCTGGTTCATAACTTGAGCATCCATGAAGAACCAATCTTTCCCACTGTGTTTTTCAGGTTGCTTGACACAGTATTTTAACCAGAGTGGGGAATGCACCAAATTGCAAGGCTACAAGTGCGTGCTAAGCTCCAAGGCATCCGAAGAATCTATGGTAAGTGACATTATAGACTAAGAAAGTTGTAATTTTAATCTTTGACATGATTAGCAAATTGACATCGCTTCCTGCAGGCAAATTTTGCTCGGTGGGAACCTTCCCATGGCAAGTTCAACTTCCGGCATCCGTGGAAACAGTACGTAAAAATCGGCTCATCGATGCGCAGTTGTGCTTATTGCATAGAGGCTCTCAACGGTTGCATCAGTTCAGAAAATCAGGCTGCTAAATTGATAAAGAAGCATTTTAGCAAAGGTTGCTTGAAAGTGAGTTCTTGCTCCTCGAACGCCTTAAGAGAGCTTGCAGAAACTGTCAAGACAATGAAGAAATCATCCACCATAGATTTATTGGTTGGTGAAATGAACAGCGCAGTGCAAGAACTCCAGAATGACTTGAAATCGCCTCCTCTTTTGCCGAAACGATCACCAGTTTCGGAAAACAAAACATCGGAGGCAGCCTGCTCGGAAGCAACACCCACAGTGCCTCTCATGGACATCATACAAGTGGTGACTTTGTCATCTTTGTTGATCGAAATTTCGGGGCGGATCGAAGCCCTGGTTGATGATGTGGAAGAACTAGCCAAGCGAGCTGAATTTGGAATCAATGATGACAAGTGCAAGCAAAGCGAAATGGCTGTATCAGATGAAGAGAAAACTGAGGGAATTGTGAAGGCTCTTCAAAAGGTCTGAGTTCAGTCTACCTCTTTTGGTTTCTGAATTCTGAAAATGAATTCATAGATACAGTAAAAAGATTACTCAAACACAGGAATGTAATGTTTATAAGGATCACGCTAAGAAATTTCTCTATAACGGTACCGATTAGCCTGCCAAGACACCCTCCTTTTTCGCCCATATCTTTGTATAAACAATGCAGGCCACCTTTGAGTACCAAATTGACATAATATCAAAATTAGTCCCCAATATTTACTAAAATAGTCATTTTAATCCATATTTTTTTTTGAGATTTTGTCCCAACATTTTATTTTAGGGTAAAAAGTCCCTAAACATTTGACTAAATAGTCATTTTGGCTTTTATTATTTTTAAAGCATTTTGGCCCACATCGTTTAATTTTAGAGTAAAATGACCCATATCTTGGAGCGTTAACCGTTTGCTAACTAACGGTATCCACTCACAGTGGGATCTTTTTGTCCCAAAATGAAACGTTAGAGGACCAAACTGCTAAAAAAATAATAAAAGCCAAAATAACTATTTTAATAATAATTGAGGACTAATTTTGACATTGTGCCAACTAAATTTCCATCACCAATACACTACTTTTCTTAGAACAAGATAATGTTACCTAGACTCAAACCAAAGACCTTCTATGTGCTAGACTAATATGATAACCATCTACACCATGACATGACATGGGACAAAGAATTCTCTTATACTAAAGGATAAAGTATGGTCACTAAATGTTAAAATATATTTTTAGTCATTATAAATTTAAAATTTTATAAAATAGTCACTAAATTTCTCAAATGATCATTAAACTTTATTAAATTATTATAAAATTACTGACGGTCTCGTATAATTAGATCCCTTTTACAACAATTTGTCGATGTATTTAGAACTGTTCACAAAGCAATTTGTCAAACTCATACTCTCAATTTTCAGTCTTCCTTAATATTGCGTCTAATCTTGAATAGAGACATGAAGATTATTGATAGTTACTAGGGATGGCAACGGGCCGGGTATTGGTCCCCCGTCCCCGTTTAAAAAATCGGTACCCGTCCCCGTTTAAAAAACTGCGAGAATTTAAACGGGGATCCCCGTCGGGTAATCGGGGAAAACCACGGGGAAACGGGTATCCCCGTTTAGCATAAACGGTTATTTAAACGGGTATTGGGTCGGGTATTGGGTCGGTATTGGGCCGGGAATCGGGCCGGGTATATATATATATATATATATATATATATATATATTTAAATTAAATATATTTAAATTAAATTATCGGGGCGGGTAATCGGGGCGGGTAATCGGGTAATCGGGGCGGGGATTACCAAATCCATCCCCGTCCCCGTTTAAAATAAATAAGTTTTCCCCGTCCCCGTCCCCGTTTATCATCCCCGAACCCGACCCGTTTAATTCGGTTTTCGGTTTTCCCCATCGGGTTCGGGTTTTTTTGCCATTCCTAATAGTTAGTAGGTTTTTGTAGAGGATGAAATATTTATTCAAGCAAAGATTTTGATTTTATTTTTCATGCCCTTTAAGTTTCCATGTCAAAATCGACCCTTAGATGCTCGATTCCGTGCCAATCACATGCTCACATAACGGCGATTCTCCTCGAAACCTATATTCAAACATCTGAAACATACGTACTTGTGCTCTTTCCAGTTTCCGAAAAGGTACAATCTAGTGACACACATAAGTTCCAACTAAAACCTAAATACATGAACAGATTGAACTAAAATCCAGTTTCAAATCATTCATTCACAAATTTAATAACAAAATGAATAACATACCGTCAAGGAACATAACAAGAATGCACAGGGAGGAACAATGCATAAAAATATTTTTTGATTCGGAAGAAAAACATTGAAAGGCATTCATCTAGTAGGTAGATAATCAGGAGACTCGTCCAGAAAAGAAAAAATGGGTAACACTACCAGTTCTCTATGACAATTTTTGACTTCTCAAGAATGAATTTCCCTTCCTTGTACTTCTGTGTTTCCTCGAAAGCTCGCTCGTATTTCCAGCCCAACACCTCACGGCAATCACAGCAGTAGACATCAGCAACCGTGTGAAGACCGGTCATCAATTGTCTATCCTCTTTAGGACCAATCATTATGTTCATCGCATGGGAGAACAAAATGGCCCGACCGTTTCTCCCCTGAAACTCACATTTATAATCAACCTTTGCAACATATATCTATTGTTCTAATGGAATTCTTCTAACAAAACTGCTTTGCTTTACAAGGTCGTTGAGCCAAACCAAACCGACAGAAAATACATTTGATCCAAACACTTTAGGGGTAAATGTTTTCATATGAAATGGAAATTTATAGTTTTCCCTTTCATTTTTTCCTGATAAGCTATGAAAAGTGGAATCAGCAGCTACGAGTGCGGCATAGAGGGCATAAATGCAACAAAACCAGTATCGAGTCGAGTTCATTACCTGAAAGGACTTGGATATAACATCATCGTGAAGGGCAATTTGGTTTCTGCAATTGCAGCAACTGTACAACCTCGGTCCTATCATTTCCGCCATTGAGCAATTATTTATCAACAACTCTACTAGTTGCCACTCCCACACAAACTCAATATCTTTTTACAAAATCAGAAGGAAAAGAAAAAGCAAAACAGAGTCATCAGTATTCAAATCAAAACCAATGAATATCACATCAATGATAGTAAAATTATTCAAAAGCTCACCTTGTATACACCAACAAAGTATACAATCTATGTTGATAATCAACCTTTGTATGACGAAACAACTGCACCCACAACGAACACAGAGAACTTGAATTGTGAATGAACAAAAAAGGAAAGTAAGCATTTGATACAAGTTAAAAGGAAAATAGGAGAAACAAGTCAAAAGCTAAAAACCCAGCGATTAGAAACTAGCTTTTGATACAAAAGAGAAAGGGATAATCAACGGAAGTTATGAAAAACCAACAACCAAAGAAAAGCCTAGATTTCAGAAAAAATGTAAAACATGTTAAACCCTGGAATTCAAAAATAGCTAAAGAAAGAGTATCCTATGAAAAGATCAATACTAACAAGAGCAAAAAGAAACCCTATTATTAGAAGAAAGCAACAGGAAAGAAAAACCCATTGTTGTTGGACAATGAAAACGATCAAAAGAGAGGATTATAGAAAGTAGAGGAAAAGGGTTCAAGGGAAAATGTTATGACTTTCCTTCATTACGTTTTTATTAAGTGTTGGGTACGAACCTGGACAAGGTTCCATGCTGATTGATTGATTGATTGCAGTTCTCAATCCTCACTTCCTGTCTCAACTGGTGAAGTTGTGCGTGGAAATTTGATGGGTTTTTCACTTTTTCCGATTAAAAGATGGACAAAATACGTTGGAGCTTCCATTCATTGTTCATCAGATTGACATGGACTCTGTCGCAAATTACCAATCTGCCACTCTTTTCTATATTAGTATTAGTATTAGTATTATTGGGGCAAACTATATTAAATAGTCACTGAAGTATGAATAGTTTTTGTTTTTTCCATTGAAGTTTCAAAATTAACAAAATAGTTATTAACATTATCGCTTATCGGTCACTCATCCGTTAACAGTAGTTACTGTTGTTACAGAAATCTGATGTGGCAGGTTTAGTAAGATAAATTGATATTGTTTGGCTACTTTGACCAGTCACATTGACTAATATTTGGAGTTTTTGGTTTACTATTTGGAGTCAGATCAACAGAGGAACTGACGTTAACAGTAAAATCGAGTGAGAAAGAGTATGCAGTTCGAGTATGTGGCGATGATTCAATGGTCGAGTTGAAGCGAAGAATCTACCAAGCGGCCAATGTTTTGCCCAAAAGATAGAAGCTTCTATACCTTAAAATTGAAAACAAACTCTTCGATGACTCCTTTTTGCTCTCTCAAATTCCCCTCATGTCCTATCTCAAGATGACCATGATTAGAATTATCGAAGATGATCAGATTGAGACTCTACAGGTTATCAATCAATGACTTCGAAATTGAGCAAGATAAAGCTGTTGATATCAAATATAAAGAGGTTAACTAGCAGAAATTAGAGAAACACATTACACCCTATACCAGACTATAATGAATGACTTGAGTAATCTGATCATTTATGTACTTTACCCTTAAAATAATTACTTTCAAATAGAAAATAAAAGTAAATCGAGCCTATATTTCAATACTCTTTGAAGACGTACAGATATACCTGATTTGGTAGTTGTTAAAGTATTTACTATATTTAATAAACTCTTCTATATTAGATCAGTAACAAGGTAGCTCCCGTGGACGTGGACCAGCAGTTTCATTTTAAGGCTCGTCAAACAAACATTAATTTCTGCTAATCTACTGTTCCAATAGTTGTTATTTCGGCTAAAAATGTTATAATTATTAAGTTCGAATCCTTCTGTTTTCTGGTCTTTGCTGAAGTCGCCATGGAAGAATCCAGGGATGAGATTAGAGCTCCTCTAGGTGTGTCTTGTCCTTTTTCAATGCGCAAAACGGAATAAAATTTGATGTTCTTGTGTCCCTGATTCTATGCAGTATCTAAGGAAGAAGATGCTAACAATCCGTCGTCGTCAGAGGCGTTGGCATCAAAATCTGAACCAGATATCAAAGAAGCTCGTGAAGAAGAAGAAGAAGAGGAGAATTCACCTGTTAGACAAGTGGCCTTAACCGTGCCAACCACAGATGACCCTCGTTTACCAGTCCTGACGTTTCGAATGTGGGTGTTGGGCACCATTTCATGCGTTCTCTTATCGTTTCTTAATCAGTTCTTTTGGTACCGGACCGAACCATTGACAATCACGGCCATCTCGGCCCAGATAGCGGTGGTTCCCCTCGGCCAATTGATGGCTGCCAAGATCACAGACAGGGTTTTCTTCAAAGGAAGCCGATGGGAAATCAACTTGAATCCAGGGCCCTTCAATGTCAAAGAACATGTGCTTATCACTATCTTTGCCAACTCCGGAGCTGGAAGTGTTTACGCCATCCATGTTGTGACTGTTGTCAAGGTGTTATACAAGAAGAACATTACTTTCTTTGTCTCCTTGATTGTTATCCTTACGACTCAGGTCAGTTTTACTTTGTTTTTGTTTGATTGTTGATTGGGAATTGTGTGGTTTCTAGAGTGAGTAGTTTGGTGGGTTTTGAATGTTAGGTGCTGGGGTTCGGATGGGCTGGTATATTCAGGAGATACCTAGTGGAATCAGCTGCAATGTGGTGGCCTGCAAATCTTGTTCAAGTTTCTCTCTTCAGGTAATTCCATTATGATTTGTATGATGGATGGTTTAATGTTCTTTGCATGTGGCCGGATATCCCCTGGTTCCGCCGAATTTGGGGGTAAGACCGGTTGGTGTCCACAAAGAGTGAATGGAATAGTTTGTTTGAATTGTTATTTTAGTCTCTATTAGTTTTTTCGAGCACTTTAGCCTTTAACGTTTTTAATCATTTTATCAAAATAATCTTTGTTGAATAAAATTGTTAATTGACTAATAACCAATATATGTTGTTAACGTGACATTTTTATATGTATTAAATTGTTAATGTGTCACATGCTACATAACCTAAGATAATAATATGACATGTGTCACATCATTCAAAATGTTAATATGACATGTATCATGTTATCTAAGATCATGACGTGACATACGATACGTCAGTAATAAAATATAGACGAGAAATGTTACGTTTGTAACATATATTGAGCATTAGAGTCAACTAACATTTTTATCCAACATAGATTGTTTTGATTAAAAATTAAAATGTTAAGGGTTAAAATATTCAAAAAGATAAAAATATGAGTTAAAGTGATCATTTGAATAAATATTAGGAGTTAATTTTGGTATTATACCATTAATTGTTTACAAATGAAAAAGGCTGTCAATACCTGAAGAAGACTAATGGGAACCCTTTTGAAGAAAGAAAAAAAAAAACACTTGTTTTGTTTTTTGCATTCAGTACCAATACGTCTCTCACATCAGATCGAAGATGAGTACTGGAAATCAAACAACGAATTAGCATATAGTCTGATTGTAACATTCTTTCGGTTTTCGTCTAGATCGGATTGAGGGTGTTATCCAGGCCGGTCCAATGAGTTTTAATGTCCTAGGCGAGATAATAATTGTATGACCCTATACTTGTACCGTATAATAGACAAAACATAAATAATTTTTTAAAACAAAAATGTAATATAAATTATAGTCAAATAATATAAATACTAATACAAACCAAAACCTATAAGGCTAGCAATATCACATAAAACGATGCCTTCGTACATTTTTTGAAGCAAAAACATCTATTATTTTACGATAATCAAGACTTTGTAAAAATTGGTTTTCGATGCTTAGAATTGTTAATCCGTTCAATCTATTTTGAGTCATCGTGCTTCGAAGATAAGATTTCAAGAGCTTTAATTTTGAAAAACTTCTTTTGCAGAAGCAACCGTAACCGATACCGTCAACAAAATTTTATATGCTATCAACACATTAGGGAACATATTCATTCTTCTTGCAAACTCCATTATTTGAATAGATGTCTGTGGACTTTCATCTTTGTGTGCTTCATCCGACAACATTTTCTGTAAAATTTGTAACTTCATAAATAAATCTTTTCCATCAATATCAAATTCTTCCCCATTTGTCAAATTGGACTCAAGATTTAAACAATATTTTTTTAGTTCGTCATTAAGTAATGAAATTAACTTTGAACCATCAAACAAAAAACCAAATATAGACTCGAAGTGTTGCATTTGTTCAAATCTACTTTTTAATTGAACAAGAGTCATATCTACCAGAATAATAAAGTAATCCTTTCGAAATGCTTCTTGAGAAGATTTTTGTTCTCTTTCGGTATTTGGAATTTCATCAAATTATTTTTTTTCTATAAGAAATACGTTTTTTAAGAAATTGAGGTTCAACCCCATATATTCTATTTATTTAGATTCATTAATAGCATTGTCAAACCCAAGTTGCCTATATTCTTCAAAGTAATTAATAGACCCCTCTAAGTTTTTAACCGCAACATCAAGAAGCATATATTTGGATTGTAATTTCTTACTAACCAAATTAATTCTAAACTAAATTTCTTATTAACCCCTCTAAGTTTTTAACCATTTCTAGTTTTAAATTTATTTTAAGTTTAGTTATATGGCATGTAACACCCCATTTAAAAGGGAAAATCAAGCCTCGAAATTTATTTTTAATGAGTTTTCCATAATTAGGAACTACCAAAATATACTAATCCAAACAAACATTTAAATATGCTATTCAAAATCCTGGACCATTAGACACAAAAAAGGACTCTTGACACTTAAGAGTTTCATGCATAAATTTTGGTGGCGGATAAATACTATACTGAGGAAGAACATAACCAAATTTACTCTTTCATGTGTTGATTCTCTTCTGTTTGGGCTTGGGACACATTGACTTTGATTTTTGGAAGATGAAGTGATGAATCTTGTGTAAGAGCGAGCGGAGCATTGACCAAGTGAATATCCTGCTCCAATTGCTTCCTTGCTTCTTTTTGCCTTTGGACTTTGCCCGTCTTATGCTTGGAAAGAGATTCAAAACGGATGGGTTATTTAGCAAACTGCTACCCCCTCAAGCATGTTGCCCTGGGCTAAGGCCCATCTGGCACATGTATTGGGCCGGCTCTGGGTGTTACTTAAATGAATATTATCGGCTTCTTATCGGGTCGCGAGGTTTTTTAAAAGTTCTTTTCTGCCACTTATTCAAACATATTTATCATGACAGGGCTCTGCACGAGAAGGAAGAGAGGGCCAGAGGTGGGGTGACCAGAACCCAGTTCTTCGTAATCGCCTTCATTTGCAGTTTTGCATATTATGTCTTCTCGGGCTACCTCTTTAAAATGCTTACTTCCCTCTCTTGGATTTGCTGGATATTTCCCAAATATGTGTTTGCCCAACAATTTGGTTCTGGCCTTCACGGCCTAGGAATTGGTGTTATTGGTTTGGACTGGTCTACCATCTCCTCTTATATTGGCAGCCCACTTGCAAGCCCATGGTTCGCCACTACCAATGTTGCTGTGGGATTCATCTTGGTCATGTATGTTTTGACTCCCACCTGCTACTGGCTTAATGTCTACTCAGCCAAAACCTTCCATATTTTCTCCGATTCTCTCCACTTCCACAGGCCAAGAATACCATATCACATCCATCATCGATTCCGATTTTCACGGCGTACGACAAACAAGGACCTCTTTACCTTAGCAAATTTTTCGCAATGACTTATGGTGTAGGTTTCGCTGCACTGAATGCTACCATTGTTCATGTTGCGCTATTTCATGGAAGGTGATCATCTTTTGATTTGTTTCCAATTAGGCTTGCTGAAGCTCTTACTTTTTCTGTGAAAATGCAGAGAAATATGGGAGCAAAGAAAAGCTAGTTTCGGGGATAAGAAAATCG